TTACCACCTCGGTCATTAGTGGGAGGTGGCGTATGTGTCTATTGATATCTTCAAGTCGAATGTCGAATTCTTCACGAGTCATAAACCCATGATAATCGAGTTGCCATTCTGCTTTGAATTCGCGTTTAGGGCGAAAAAGTAAGTCAAAGAGAGAGTAAGGTTGTCTAAAAGGGATTATATGGCCTTTCATTATGAAATAATAATTTTAATGAAATTTTTAAAAGACAGGATAACGTAATAAAAGAAAGTTATAATAATTTTAAATCGGAATTTTGAGAGTGAGTGTATGTGGATGCGAATGTGGATGCGAATGTAAATAATGTAAAAGTGGAGACGAAAGTTTCATTTGTTATATATAATTTTTTGCGAAATTAGTGTTTGTTACAATTTTTGACAAAGCAAAAATAAAATAGTCATTCATTACATTTTATAATAATAACAAAAGAGAATTACTCTTTACGTATACGAATTGAAATTAGTGTTCTCAACAAAATGGAGTTATACTCCACAGCGAACAAAACAAAATCAGTGTTTTGTTCGTCACAGAAAACAAATTGAAAATTATATATAACGAGCAAAATAATGTTGTTAGTCATTTGATAATCTAAATACAAACAATGCTTTATTTAGCAAGTAGATAATGATATATTTTGGTAAATTTTTGAATTCGTACTAATTATTATTTGTGTTAATTTTAAAATTAATTACATAGTTTAAATTTTAAATGGCCATTAAATGATTATACTAATTTGGCAATGTTTTATTTTTCAAGATTGAACATTAGAATTTTCCCAATATAGTTCTTCAAATTGATATTGACCAATGGAATTTATTTGTGTCCAATGGAACAGTTTGTGTGAAATATAAAAATCTTTTGATTGGTTAATTTAATTTTCACTTGGCAAATTCGTTTTCATGCAGTTTTTTTTTATTTTATTTTTACAACTAAAGTTTTACTTTAATATTCTAAAAATATATTTTTATTCAACGCATTATTTATTTTAATAAATTAATTAATCCATTTTTTTAATCTTCGTTTGCGGCACTTTTTGAAACATTTAATTTGAGAATAATCAAAATTTAAGATTTGAAGTCCATCTAAAAGAATTTAAAAGAATTTCCTCTGTTTAGAGTGAGTAACACATATACTTGACCTTCTGAAAAGATGTTTTCATCTACAGAAGATACAATTGCATAGGGATGTTGATCGGTCCTTTGGGACTGGGTCCCAAAAAGTCCGGAACTGAACTGTTTCAGGTTCAGTCCTACCATTTGTGACTTAAAGTCCCTATAAGTCCGTGTGTAACATAAATATTTAAAAAAAAATTCAAAATGTCATCATCAATTTGAAAATAGCTTTGAAGTCAATGGTGAATTTGATCTTTACAAACCAAATTGAAGCACAACAACAATCACAACCTTTTGTTTTTATTAATGGCAATGATGAAAATATTGATGATATATTGTATTCAGAAAAATATAATTTATCTTTAGAAGTCACATCAATAAATTCAACATCAACATGTAGTTATTTTAAAAGATCATTTCAAAATCATTATAATCAATCAACTTCAAACAATGAATTTATCAAAAGATATTTAGAAATGCCAGAAGAAGTAAAATTGCCTGGATTGGTATTCTACAAGATTTAAAGATCCTAATTATACTGTTTTGTCATGGCACATGAAATTTTTTTTTTCAATACAAGCAACTAGTGTGTCAAGTGAGTCGGCTTTAGCATGGCTAAATATACACTAAGCCCAATTTGTAATAAATTGGATCCTGAAAAAAACATGAACAAGTTTATGTCTTAAAAGTTGGATTGAAGCAAAGATTGTTTCAATATAAAATATATTAAAATATATAAATAGGAATAAAGATATATAATAAAAGTATATACTGTAATAAATATTTTTATTAACTGTTTGAAAAAAGTTTGGGACTTTTTCTAGGATTTTTCTGGGACTCTTTCTGGGACTTAAGTCTGGTCCGGTCCCAAGATGGGACTGCCAGTCCCAGGACTGAACCAGACTGTTCAGGACTGATTAACATCTCTACTCTTTGTCAATTAAAAAAGAAAGAATTAGTATAGATTCATTTAATTCTTTATTGAAAAAAATCTTTATCCTCTGTTTAATTCATAACAATTTTGCCTATAAGTTTCACTATCTTGATACCCTTAGTCAAATAAAAAGAAGAATTAGTATACATTCATTCAATTCTTTATAATTAACAATTATTTAGTTGACTCTTTATTAAAAAAAAATGCATATAACTCTTTATCCTCTGTGTGGTTCTTAACGATTTTGCCTATAAGTTTTATTATCTGCATAATAACTCTTTGTTGATTAAAAAGAAAAGAATTAGTGAATTACGCATATATATGAAAAGTAATTAATTAATGTAACACACATTTTGTTTCTTGTTGCACGTTGATCATGTGTAAGTCAAGGGCGTGCATTTAGAGAGGGTGGTTTTATATGAATGGGATTGGGAAAAGACTGTGCAGTGCATTTATCCCTATAAAAAATTTGGCACAGAAAACTGTATGAAATTTGTATGGAATTTTACCTGAAATTCGCATTTTTCTGTATAGAAAAAAAAGTACAGGAAAATCCCTCTGAAAATGTATGGAAAATGTACAGAAGGTGCATTTCCATATGTTTTCCAACTATTTTTTTTTTTAATGGAAAATATAGAAAATGCATGGAAAATGCAAGGAAACTGCACCTTCCATACATTTTCCATACATTTTCAGAGGGATTTTCCTGTACTTTTCCATACAAAAATGTATGGAAAAAGTGAATTTCATTCCATACACTTTTCCATACATTTTCTGTACCAAATTTTTTATAGGGTTATGGAAGGGTGCATTTATCTCTTAAGCCCCGAAGTTGGGAATGAGACATAATGTACACTTGTGGATGGTTGACTATACATAAAAGTAATATCATCCTGTGGCACAAAAGAATAATATGATTTTTTGTGTAAAGATTGACAATTGGCAACTTTTGTGACATTTTGTACCAAAATTTACTATTAAAAACGCATATCTTTCTCTGACTCACCAATTAACTATTTTTATATTTTAATATTTTTTAAAGAGTTACTATATATAAAGTATTGGTTTTATTTTTGAATGAGTACATAAGAAAAAAATTTGCTACACAAAATTTTTGGTCCCCTAATAAATCATTGACTATTAATAGATTCGTCTCTATTAAACCTAACCAATATTTTTGGTGTAAATAATAATTTGACCTGCAGATTGACCCTATTATAATTACTGACAAAAAAAATTAATATGAATTTGACCCAGCTATGACTAAAGATGGAAACTGCAATTAGCTGCAATTCAATTTTTATATGTCACAACCACAACCACAATTCAATTATATGCCGCAATTAATTGAGGAGCCATCTTTAGCTGTGGCAGTAACTTATCTATGAAGTTTGTAGGGTTCTGTTATTGCTTTGGGTTGGCAATTGAAGTAGTGAGTTGGAGTTGCTTGAGTGAATGTTGTAGTTACTTGTTGCTGTTGATGATCTTATGCTTAATATTATTGTGATTGTATAGGGTGGTGGTGGATTTGAAACTACTGGTGTAGGATAATATCTATGTCCAATGCCAACCCTGAACATAGATGTCCTACTACAAACATGCAAGTGCTGTGCAATGCACATCTCATCCTATAGATTTTTTCCACAGGGGATGCAATTAATAAGTTGAAAGGCTTCAGACAAATAATAGCTTTAACAGCTTCCACAAGGGCTCTTTTGATGTGAACCCTTATCTTCCCTCTCAGACCAGGCCTGGTCATTGATTCCAATATGGCTGGCATTAATTACTGACTGAATGAAGGTTAGTGCTTACTCTATGTTACCCCTTTCCCATTAGAATAAAGTTGGTGTTTGTAATTAACCTGAACCATTTCATTCCTCTTAATGCCAGAGCCCAACAAGTGCTGTGAGAGAAGATTAGGATCTACAAGGTGTCCTTGACAATGTTGATAAACTCCAAGACCATAACCCCCCTGGAATTTAGTTGCATCATATCATTGGGGATGAGATCAAAGTAGCCTTATGTACATGAGGAAAGGTTGAGAATAGCTGTAATGATTTAGATAAAGTGGTGTACTCCAATGCTGGTAAATTTCCAACAATCAAATGTTGTGTATTGAACAGTTTCATCATTGGTGTTTCCAAATTGTCCAGGAGTCATTTTCTATCTTCAGCATTCATTTTGCCTTATAATTGTTTAATATACATGAGAAGCAAATACCAATCATTCATTATCTTGATAATGATTATATAGTAGACATGAAAATCTCATTCCATGTTCTGATTTCAATAAGATATTTATTACTAATAATATTCATCAAACAAATTTATCCAACACAATTCTCTTTATCTTAACATTAGGTGAACTAATTTATAGTCCTCTAAATGTTGATTATATTTCACATTTGAGAATAGCTATACAGAAAACAAATCAATATGGTTCAGTGTAAGTAACAATATCCACATTAGTTAATTAATCATTCAACTGTTCACAATTATGAACTGAATTTTATATATTTGTTCCTTGTAAATTAAAAACCTTAAATAATCACCTTCAAGTAAGTAATTGCACCATTTATAGAATCACCTATAATTAATTACTTGTGATTTGTTGATCATTGTACAAAGAATGTCTATCATGCTATCTTTATTTGACTTTTTTTTTTGTGGGTACTTTAATGCTTTTATATATATATACTAGGCAGGATGATCTTTCTAAATCTGTTCGAATGTGCTGAATAATATGAAACACAATATATACCTATATAGAAAATTACGAAAAAAATTTACAAAATAGGAAAATGCTTGCATTAGACAATTTCTTTCTTTTTTATGCATTATCATATGATCAATTTAATATTAATTAGTCGGTTTAGATTTTTTTCTAAAAAAAAATTCTGAATACAATTACATTACATAAATAATTAATTGCAAACGAAATGGCCGATCGTAGAAAAGAAGAATTACAAAAGAAACGCCTAAAACTTGAAGAACTTCGAAGGGCAAGAGAAGATCGCAATCGTACTCCAACTCCCACATCGGAACCGGAAAAGAAGTCGGTAATAAATATATATTCATTATATTGGAATTATTAAAATTAATCATGTAATTGTACAATTAATTTTATTAATTTATTTAAAGAATAAAAAAGATGATTTGAATAAATTGTTAAATGAACTTTTGGAACCAAAAGTTTCTGCTTCTTCGTCAACTAGTGGTAAATTAACTGAAATAACAACAACTTCTTTACCAAAAGAAGGTGGTGGTGGTAGCATAAGAGATTCTATTTCTTCAATTACATCTGATGCCTTTACCACCACCGTTTCTGCATCCTCATCTGTGCCTCAAAGGTTATTTATTGTTACTATATTATTTGTTAGATTTATTTTACTTTTCAATATTATTATTATTATACATTAATATTAATTAATGTTTTTAGTCCTTCAATTGCTTCAGCATCATTAACTAACCCACCACGTTATGTACCTGAATATTCTTCTCATGAGGCTGTTATCATAGATATAGCTCCAAAGGTATTCATTACTTCATCCTTAACATTTGTGCAATAAATCCCAGTTGACCAATTAATCGATCAATTATTTATCAATTAATTGCCATCGCTTTTATATAATTGTTAGGATATTGTTCTTCATAACAGAGAAGTACAAACTACAACTACTTCTTTTGTACCACCTCCACCAACTGAAGAAGAGCTTCGAGAAAAGATTTTAAAAGAAATTGAAGATGAGGAAAAAGCAATACAAGAAGAATTAGAGAAGGAACATAGGAGAGAAGAAGAAGCAAAAAAGAAAGCTCATAAAAGAAAATGTAATTAATTATATTATATTTATAATGATGATAATTAAATAATTAATAAATCACTAATCACTAACAATAAATTATAATAATAATTATTATTTAGTATTGTCAGATGATGAAAAAATTACAATCCTTTCTTCATCAAATTTTATTGAATTTATTTCCAATACTGTTCATATATATGATGTTGGAGAGGTAATTAGTCAATTAATCAATTAATCAATTAAACTATTTATTATTTAAATGTGTAATAAATTATAATCTTTTATTTAGTTGAGTGCACCAAGAGAAGATGAGTGGCAAATCATGGACAATAATATTAATCAAATGGTTGAATTATCTGCTGCTGCTGCTGCTGCTAATACTACTGCTAGTACTATTAATAATATACAATTTGTCCAATTTTGCTTCATCTCCATCATCAACTAGATCATTAGCATGTTTCCCTGTATTATCCCAACCATCATTCTCATTATTCAATT